GATACCTTTGTAGCTGTATCTAATATCACTCAGGTACAAAGACCCGTTATGTTGGAGTGCGTTCGATATGTTTTATCTCGTCATAGTGTTTGTCCAGGAATTTTTTGCTTTCCGATACTGACTTTTCCTCAGCTACGTGCTGCAGCAGCTTGTTCCATACATTTACCACTTTCCGAAACAGAGTTGTTGGGCGACCTGCTTCAAATCCGGTACCTACAAGTTTGCATCAGTGTGCTGCTTGGTGTGCGCATACGCAGTAGTGGCCTCAACATGGGGTAATCACCGAGATGTACTATCCGGTGCGTCATGATGAAATCACACCGCTGTCGACGATAAGATGTAAAGCCTTAATCTCTTACACCCTTCTTAGTAGAGCACACTACTTAAATTGGGGATCAACCTGATGGCCACATGCTTTACCCGCTCAATCCTTTCTATCTCGTCTTGGGTGATAGGACAGTATGCAGATAAGCCGTACTCTAGCATTGGCCTTATTATTGAGACGAAGACACGAGTGGCAATCTCTTAGGACCAAATGTTGAAGCTCCGCTTGAGCGCCAAATGATAATGTTCTCACTTAAAGCAGAAGTTCTCAACTTACCTTGGCCTAAATACCATAATGATCATATTCACAGGGGAAAAATTCCTCGATGAGCTACTAGAAAAGTCCACCAACATTCAATCACTCACGTTCCCAAACCTTGCTCTTCGCCTCAGTCATCTACCAAAACTGTATAACATGACCCAGTATTGCACATATGCATTTCGTCATCGTCGTCATCATCATCATAAACAGCAGTACATCTGCCATTTGAACTTATGCTTCGCTGCTTTACAACCAAATCGCGCTATGAAAACTATTATAAGCACATAAAGGGGACTTATCGGAGGACTTTAATGCCATGAGCAAAAAATTCATGATCTACGCGCCTATACCTTGTCAACAACATACCATCACAAACAGCTGGTTATTGTACGAAGATAAGGCGGCATCAGCGAGACAGCTTCCTTGTGACTTTCACCTCCACGCGTCATTAGCAGCCATAACCCTGCAGATAACTTAGCAACAAACACATTTTATGCAGCAGACACACCAACTGGTATCGACTGCGAATCATGTCCTATGAAGTCTCGAGCCAAGCACAGGGCGAGTCACGTGAACTCCAGCCTGGAGCGCTAGACGGACTGACGGCACCGAGTTTGGTCGTCAGTGATTTCATTTTCCGCTGGCAAGTCACCTTTTTTCTACCTCTAACCTTGCGCCACCCTGTATCTGGTAAAGGAAACAGGGCCCTCATCGATAAGCGATGACTTGGCATACGTACTACATGCTCAAACTAACACAACTTGTTCACTGCTATCTGTTGTTCTAAGGAACTGGCTTGGTTATCATTGCTTAGTACCCACCTACGTACACGCTGGTGTCATCCGACACCAGTAATGCCCCGTAGGCAGCGATGATCAAGGGCTTGAGGTCGCCTCAGGTCTTCAGACTGAAGGTTAAAATCCACAGTACGCCGGTTCACTGTACCGATGCTTCGTCGCCACGTGACCACCACCGGTTGAGCGTTGGCAGAGTACACCGCCAGAACGCCTGCCCCTACGTGGATCGAATGGGCCAACATTTGCTCCCATAGAGTAGGACGGATGAATATAATGTAGTTTCGCCACGTCTGTCAGATTATTTACACATCATAGTCTATCTTCATTCTGGCCAAATCGCAGGATCGATCCCAGATTAGAGCACTGTCATCTTTCCGAAGCGGCATGTCGCCTATACGGTTGTCACTTTCTCCAGTACTCATTTCTTGCGTGGGCATGCATCCTTCGCATTTTTTCTGGGGACTAAGAGAGTGATCGCACGGTCGCCCCCCCCACGATTACGTTTAGTAGGTTTAGTTCATTTCGGGGAATAGGGTCAACCAGTTTTTCTCTAGTCCTCCACCGTTTTAAACTCCAATAATGTATGGGGAAATTTATTCTAACTGGTCACTACTCGATTTGAGAAGAACCTAGCTCATTAATTGTGCCTACCTCTCAGTCATCGGCCCCGCAAATGTTCTATGTAGCTGGCTTTAACTCAAAGCTCCTTCATGATTTTGAATGTCTATTAAATCTCATCACAATATGTGTCTCATTGTAAACATTTCGTGGTTAGCTAACCAACTTTCATATGGTAACCCCAGTTGTTCATCTACGATTCAAGTGGCGAGTCTCTTCCGATTCTCAATTCAATTGATATCCTGCAGGTAGGAAGCCATGACCTGAATGCAGCATTCCAAATGTGGTCTCACCATTTCTTTCAACAGACGAAGGGTGATTTCTGGTTTGATGCCGGCCAGAGCCTTCCTAAGTCAAAATAACTCGTTCTTTGTTAGGAGCATGCTTACGTTGTGTCGACGGCTTGCAATTGTTCATCACGATAATACCAACATCGCGTACTTCGATATCACGTTACAGTGTCAGGGATCCAATAGGTATATGCAGCCCAACCTGTTTGCCACTCGAAGTCACTGTTCGGCCTTTGCTGTCATTCAACGGCAGATCTCATGGCGTGGAATGTTGAATACAAACATTCATCGCGGTAACCTCAATGCGGATGTAGAAGACGTATGTTGTAATAGCTAAGCGTAAAACAAGTTCTGGAACGAAATGGGAAGAAATTTAAAGTTCAGTCAATCGATCATCCGCATTCGGCAAAATTCAACCAATCAGAGTTTGCCCAAGCTGGCGAGACACAACAGGATCCGAACTACCCGGTAGTGGTCCCAATGACGGTGAGCACGTTTTTGGGTTGCAGTCGTTGCCGTGGCGAAGTACCGACCTCAATTGGGTTTGTGCTATGGGTTTGTTCGTCCCTCCCCCTTGCGCTTAGATTCCTCCTCCAATTACGACTTCACACCGCAGACATACCATCATATCATTACAATTCTGGTTTCCTTAGTTTTTTATTATGAGCTATTTAGTATCTCGTATTTCTCATCTCTGATCTCTTTTATTGGGGCACAATAGTTGCAGTATATTTCTCACCTTCAGCTATCGTTTATTGATATTGATTGGGTGCATCAATGCGCAGGTGCTTTTTACTCCCAACTGGTTGTTCTTAATATTCGTTAGTCACCCCAGACCGAGTGTTGTCAAGCTGTCTTTCCTAGTATTGATCCATTGTTTCATCCTGTCTATCCGGATGAATGCCGCTGGGGTGTTGGTGTCGGTGGACTAGTTCGCTTACTGGATGAAACATCAATAGTCGAAATGCTGAGATAGGTGATACCCACAAATCGATTATCTTCACAGTGTGATTCGTTCATTCCTGATGCACAACAGCTCGGTTAAACGCCAGATTATCTGGTCATTGCTTGCGGAATACAGTACTTTTCAACCTAGTTACCCACCACTTTTCTGTATATGTGTCTATCGATATTTGTAGGAGTTTCCAGTTTTGACATGGTAACCGGTCTGATGAAGTGGGCCGCACTATCACGTGACAATCTTGTGTCTTGTTTGTCCTAGTGCATGGAACCACTCATCGATGACTACAGTGGTTCTTTGATCCATTCGTTATCGATTGCATGATGCAATGATGAATGCTTTTTATTTCCATTCTGGCGAGCTTTTGCCGCCATGATATATGACGTGCCATCTGAAATGTCATGTTGTTGTGGTCTTGTCCGAGCTGAGCAACTTAATTGCAAACAGTTCGTCACCATTCGTGGTGACAAACAGTGCAGGATTGATAACTGTCAGGCAGCAGGAGCTGGTAGAACACACTCTCTCATTCACTCACTCTTGCTTAATTGTGTGCATATGTTCGGATCCAGTGGTTGTGAGCACCTAGCCCAGCCTTTGACTTTCACCCATGTTTGCAGTATAACTTGAATGAATTCCACTTGACGGCTATCGGTCATCACAAGTGCTTGATCCGCGGTGAATGGAAGTAGACACCGACCGTCCAGCAGCACGCAATCGATCTCTGTGGCGCTTGGTGTTGGATCATTGCAATGAATAGGGCTAACTATTGGTAGTCAAAATGATAAGTTTGGAGGCAAGCATTCTTAAAGAAGGTCCATGTTATCTACTTTTGAAAGATTAGGTAGTGAACTGTCGAGGAACTTATGCGATTCTCATTGGCACAAGCAAATTTTAATAATCCACTTCCTTAAATTTTGGCATTACCTCATGTGTTGGCCGTTCTGTCAGTGTGAACTGTTCTTCGTTCCTTTTTGTGTTGTTCTTGCAAGGGCATGATTTGTGCTTCTTTTCTTATCCTCGAATTCAGTTGCCTTCAGGAATACTTAGACGAGCGTTAACGTCATCTGGGAACCTTGTTTTTCTTTATACAATCTACCTCCAGCTTGTTTGGCCGCACTCAGACTGTTTTAATAAGCAAAAACCCGACCACGAGCGGACGAAATGTGTCGGTTGCTCTTACCATGAGTGTGTGCCTTCTCTTACCTGCTTCCGGTACATGGTGATGCTAACATTTTGATGCAAGCTCTCGTTTTGCTAGCCCAATGCCTGCCGAGCAGATGTTTGTGGTGATGGTATGCTTGTGTCTAGGAATTTTTACAGTTCGGAGCGTTATTACACCAGTACGATGTTGAGCGTTGAGGGATAGATGTTACACCTGCAATCATTCTTTTGCCATCCTTCAGATTCGTCCTTTCGCATGTTTCCCCGTATGGATCTTCGTAGCGACGTCGCCAACTCATCCGATTTTTTACGCAGTTTTTGTTCTTGTGGACGTCGTGGCCACATGGCATATCCTAATACGGTACAGGCGAAGACTTTTGTTTGCCGGCACTGATCTCTATGGTGCCCTCAGAAAACTCAGAGCAACCGCTTACTTTGCGTGACGGCTGTCGCTCCATGCTGCGATTGTCATCCCTTGTAAAGCACGTTGTGGTGGTTAACCGATTTGGAATCGTTTTGCATCTATCAGCGTCCTTTCATTACTGTGTTTATACCTATTTCATGTTGATATTGTTTTGCTGTTGCAGAGGAGAGACCCCATAGATGCAGTCGTTGCGACAAGCGTTTCTTTGACCGGGCTTCGTTGAAAAGACACGTTGAAGTAGTACATTTGAGTGAGTACTTTGAACATGTTGTCAGTGTTTTTTTGAAAATTCCGAGTGATTCTGCTAAGTTTTATCAATACACTGATGCCTGCGATGCTATTTCGCTTGATTCTGCGCTTTGGATTTGGCGTTGCTTATGCTTGTTTCCAGCCATTTTGGCTTTCCTGCGATGTTTTCAGTGTTACCCAAGGATCACATTGAGTATTAGTGAAAAAAACAATAATGTATCAGCTGTACGCCCTAATGGCGCTTCGCTACCGCACGACCACTACTAGTCGCGCGCGGGCTGAGTATACCGCGAAGACGCCCACCCCTACACGGATTCGAACCAGTGACCTTATGGTTGCAAACCAAAAGCGCACACCACTCGGTCATCATCCGACACATTGACTATTAAAAGATTCGTACATGATTTTCATTGTAGACTTAATCAAAAGACAGTTGCGAAGAAATTTCTTTTCGACCATTCTCTTCAAGCAATTACAATTTGCATCACATAATCTTTCGGATGACAATGCTATCATTAGCGTAGCACAGTTGTGCCGTCTCGACTTTGTAGTATGCAGCGTTCAGTGGCCAATTTCGAACACACGGCCATCGAACGATGAGCCAACAGTCAGCTGCCAGCTCGGTGGCCATGAGAGAGTAACGCTTTGCACAACGGTTTTTCCTTGCACAGTTCCCGCTCCAACTTGTTATTGCGATGGTTTCTACAGAAGCCAGCATACACTTATGAGGTCCTTTTGGTGATAGTTTTGGCTGTACGTTGAGTGCTATAAAGTACTCCTTAATTTAGATATGGTGTCCACTCATAATCAGATTTTCCCAAATTGAGCTGTAAACCTTTTTGACCGTGCATTGCCATGCCGCGGCGACGCCAGTCATTGTTCTGCTATCATCTTCGAAAGACATCTCGACGTATGTCTGATGTGCTGTGCACCGCAGGTGCAGGTGAATTGATATAGAATGTAAGATTTAGACTGCACCGGGAGTATGTATTTTAGACGTTGGGCAACAAACGACGCGGTTTCTGCAATTACGTGTGGATGGGCAGCTGAATGGGTTCGAGCTACTGCAGTGGAAACTCTTTTGTTCAGCAAATCGAATGCAATTTATCCCTTAAATGGAAATGAGAGAAACACAGCTTTCTTTGGAACAGTTGCAATCATTTTACGACGATTGTGAACCACTGAGTGATTTCGGATGAACGGGGCTGGGTAACCGTTTTCCTGCAGCGTTTGGAGTATACGGTTCTTTTCCACTTTCAATGTCTCTGGACTGCAAATTTTGATAGCGCGAAAATATAAGCAACAAACAAGCTTCCATTTCTACTTCAAGGGCACAAAACTGAGAAATTGCGTGTATTGCCCGACCCACGTCGTTTTCCGTTCGTTGCCTATATTTCCGCGCTACCAAAATTTGCAGCCCAAAGACATCAAAAGTCAAAACGTACCGTGTACTCCAAATGCTTCAGGAAAACGGTTACCCAGCCTCGTTCATCCGAAATCACCCAGTGGTTCACAATCGTCGTAAAATGATTGCAACTGTTACAAAGAAAGATTTTTCTCTCAGTTCCATTTAATGGATAAATTGCATTAGATTTGCTGAACAAAAGTCCACTGCAGTAGCTAGAACCTATCCAGCTGTCCATCCACACGTAATTGCCGATACCGTGCCATTGGTTGCTCAACGTCTCAAAGACACTCCCGGTGCAATCCAAATCTTACATTCCATATCAATATACTTGCACCCGTGTTGTGAGGTACATCGGAGTATAAAAAGACGTCTGTCTAAACCGATAGCGATGCACTATCCCACGGTAATGCGGAAAGCTACTATCAACTGCATCACGAGATCTATCCTAGGACATCTGGTCCAAAGTGGACACCAAATTAGGACTGCCGATGTTTCCAAAGTATTTTATGTCGTGCCAAAGCGCTACCCCAAAGGGTTTAGAAAACGAATGTTACGGATGGCTGAAGCCATTGCAATCGGACTAGCATGACCCGAGATATGCAAACAGAGGGCGATTGTTCAAGCGCTCCTTCTGCCCTAAGGTTTATGTACTTCCAGTCAGTTGTTACTCCACACGCTGATAGTGGCTGGCTGGTGGGTGAGTCATCCAACCAGTCTTAGAACGCTTGCTCTCTCTCTTCTATCTACAGGATGTTTTATTAATCTGGGCTGGAGCTAGGAGCAGCTGCACACAGGTGCTGGCGTACACCGGTACACTGAATTGCTAACTGGCCAATGGGGTAAATTGCTTTGCTGGCAGGGGTGAGATGGGACACAGAGACGCGACATGTGTGCCTACGATCGCAGAGCACACCGAGCCGTTCGGCTGTGAGAACTGAACGTTAGCAAACACCACAGCCGCAATGAATGCGTCATGCCTCGACCGCAGGGCAAGACCAACGCAACGCAAGCCGTTCGGCTGTGAGAACTGGACGTGAGCCAGACACCACATAGCTGCACTGAACGTGTCATGCATCGATCGATCGGTAGTCGGCTTACACGCAGGTGAACAGCCAGCAAAAGGGTTTCCTGGGAAGGGATTAGTGGGTCGCTGTGCTAGCAAATGAGAAGAACAGCCTGGCCGTATGTGATGACCGGTCGATGGGCGCCGTATTGCTATCGCCTCATGACTGGCTTCCAACAAACCCGTAGGCTTTTATGAGGCTGGTTTCGCTGCTAAAGGGAATCATACTACCAGGAGCACATTGTAAGGTTACAGTGTTGTTCGCTTTACCGTTTCGATCGCGTGTGTGTTACAGCTGAAAATTCACCCTTCATGGGTGCATGAAAGCGAATTCTTGACTTGACTTAAGGTGACAACGCTCTTAGAGTCCAGTCTGCTCCGATTCAATGGTGGCACCATAAGAGAGCATACCAATTTAGTCATGAATACAACTATTGCCCTTACAGTCAGACAATTGCTAGTTGTACAAATTGATCAGGCCTTCGATGGTGTTTCCCATGCACAATCGAGAATATAGATTTATTCATTTCCACCTGGAATTTGTGAAATATCTGTAAATATCACCGAATTAGATGTTCGAAATCCCCCCCGTCGTTTTGGCTACAGAGGAGTATTCGCCGTATGGCTTTCATGAGCAATTTATGCAATGTCTCGAACGAAATCTGCACATTCGACGCAGTCGGTTCCTGCTTAGGTGGACGAGACATTCGGTGGATATTGTTTCAGTCGCGGAGAACCGTTGGGATGGCCTGCGCGATCACCGGATTTGAATCATATGGACTTTTTCCTGGGGCATTCTTGAAGTGCAGAGTTTATAGAACGATAGCCAACAACATGGATGAACTGAAAGAGAACATTGTGAATGAATGTAGGCAGAAGAAGATGAAATGAAGAATGAATGAATAAATCTATATTCTCGATTGTGCATGGGTAACACCATCGAAGACCTTATCAATTTGTACAACTAGCGATTGTCTGACTGTAATGGCAATAGTTGTATTCATGACTAAATTGGTATGCTCTCCTATGGTGCCACCATTGAATCGGAGCAGACTGGACTCTAAGAGCGTTGTCACGTTAAGTCAAGTCAAGAATTCGTTTCTATGCACCCATGAAGGGTGAATTGTCAGCTGTAACACACACGCGATCGAAACGGTAAGACGAACAGCGTTGTAACCATACAATGTGCTCCTGGTAGTATCATCCCCTTTAGCAGCGAAACCGGCCTCATAAAAGCCTACGGGTTTGTTGGAAGCCAGTCATGAGGCGATAGCAATACGGCGCCCATCGACCGGTCATCACATACGGCCAGACTGTTCTTCTCATTTGCTAGCACAGCGACCCAGTAATCCCCTTCCCAGGAAACTCTTTTGCTGGTTGTTCACCTGCGTGTAAGCCGAATACCGATCGATCGTTGCACGACACGTTCAGTGCAGCTATGTGGTGTCTGGCTCACGTCCAGTTCTCACAGCCGAATGACTTGCATTGCGTTGGTCTTGCCCTGTGTTCGAGGCATGACGCATTCATTGCGGCTGTGGTGTTTGCTAACGTTCAATTCTCACAGCCGAACGGCTCGGCGTGCTCTGCGATCGTAGGCACTCATGTCGCGAGTCTGTGTCCTATCTCACCCCTGCCAGCAAAGCAATTTGCGCCATTGGACAATTAGCAATTCAGCGTACCCGTGTACGTCAGCACATGAGTGCAGCCGCTCCTAGCTCCGGACCAGATTAATAAAACTCACTGTATATATATTAGTCTATGCATGCTTACGCGTAATCTGGCGTCTGAGTAGACGGAGCGATTTATCGATTAAGTCCAATCAATTTTTACCTCTCTTATTCCACCAATCACTGCCGCGCTTCACTAGCCCATCGTGTATCATCTTTCCATTTTCAATTGTAAACGCCTGGTGAGATTTGTCGAGAAGAGCGCTCTTCGCGACCTTGTGTTTAAGTAACGTTTTTTGATCGACTGACACTATTGAATCGCTTCAGTATGTGACAGATTCCCATCTTTCCTTATACCGTCATGATCTAGCAATAATTTAGCTTAACGTGCGAAATCGACGGATATTTTTTCTTATTTCACGACTTCTTTGAAGTCACTGTTACTCCCCCGTCGACTGTTCTTCGCCCAGTCACATGTCACGTAAGCTGCAACCAATAGACTGATAGGCCTATTGTCCAATGTGATCCTGGACCGTTACTTAGCTTAAATTGAACTGTTTCGCAATCAATGCAGTTTCATCTGTTTATCTTGACTACTTCACCAATTTACTGGTATTTGGAATGTTTATACTAAGGTAGTCGAACTTCAGTTGGACTTCGTAGCCAGCTTCAGTCATGCAAAGGCCACATCTCCGGAGAGGCGCTAGACGGCTGCTTCCCGTCTTATTGTGTTTCGTCAGTATATCTGCTTGGGGGCATGTGTTTTCGGTTTGATTTTCATTACTATTTTTGGCAGCCACATGACGCCTTTGCCTACTGATGCACCATGGGTTGCTTGCGCTACAGCACGAACTGCTCTATCCACACCCCTCACATCTAGTGTAAAACTGATGCAGCGCGACTACGAGCGATGCAGATAAGAGACACGAATGATTCGGAGCCGGCCAACACTCCGTCAACAAGCAGTTCATTCGTAAGTGATTGGGGGATTTATTTGGTATTTGAGTCTACCTACGACGGATCTTCACAAAATACCAACTGAATCACCCTATTATTTTCAAATAGTCATTAGTCGACTTAGCAGCTTTTGTACCACCTCGATTGGTGGCGGCTTGCCAAGGAAGTCGCGGCTCTTGGGGGCCAGCCCTGTCCTCTGCACCTTCGTATCATTCATGACAATGGAGGATGAGTCGCGCTAAATTGCGGTTAGGTATCAATCATTACGTCCGTGGCCCTGTGACATACATCGCTGGATCAAAAGTAAGGTGGTGGGTTCGAATCCGGTAGGTTTCGGCGGTTGAGCGCTACTGACGAGTCCCAATGGGACGAAACGGCCGTCTAACACATTCCTATATGTGTGGTGGCTGTTTGCCTGAGTCTAACTGCGACGAATCTTCACTAAAGCACTTTATTCATTTGTAGGGCACTTAAAATCGCTCAATACGACTATGCATTTTACGATTGAATTACAATTTTTCAAGAATGGTGTTTGCTTCTTCGTAGGGAGAATACTGCTTGTTAGGTACGGCCTCGCATCAGGCTATCGTTAACTACTGCCATCATTCTACCACTCGTACCATCATGGTCAAGTGTTTTGTGCAATGTATTGTGAACTCTATCGTCTATCATTACGACGTTGTTTCAAAGCAGAATCTCATTCTCCATTTGCGCGTGTTTTCCCATGTGTTTCGACTCTCACTGCTCATCTTTTGTCTCTTTAATCCAGATCAACGCCCTCATAAATGCGATCGTTGTAATCAATCGTTCACTTTGCTGTGTACTTTGAAGAGGCATATCCGGATAGTACATTTGAGTGAGTATAACGCCCTAGGCTTGGGGTGCTTTTTGTTTTATTGTACGCGTTGGATCATCTTTGTCCATAGGGTAACAATTATCATGTTTCTAATACTCAGTTAAATTCGATTTATCACCTAGAAACTTTGTAGACTCGCAGTCAAAGGATTACATTCGCTGTTCACAATTTGATTGAAAGTTGCTACATAGAGTGCATAGCTTTGGAATGGGAGGGTGCAAATATTTTGGCAATCAACGAGAGTTACACTACATACTTTTACACTGTAAAAGAGTCTCTTGGCTGCATTTGATGGTGCTACTCTAAGTAGTTGTGCTTGTTTTTGCACTTCGCTGTATCCCAAATCACTTAAGAGTTCATGACCAACTGGTCATTACGGCAAATATAAGCGACCATGGTTAGCGGCATCTGGTTCCAAATTTGCCCGTCACTGTGGCCTCCACGGGTACAGCCACAGGATGCTTGCGCCTACAGGGAGACCATGGATGGCTTGCGCTACACCACTCAAAGTTCCTTCCACACACCCCAAATCTTGTGTAAATCCGAAGGAATAAGACCGGGAGGCACGTTTCAACAACGGAGCCGGCCCACTCCCCTTTACAGGTAAATATAAGCATATTGTATTTGGGAAATCAAACGCACACAATGCGGTGGTTGGACCGTGGTTTGCTCCACACTGAGTGCATGGAACCACTCTTCGAGCCTAGCACCACCACAAGAAACCTGCACCCCGTCCCCTCCAGCAACGACCGACTGTCTTCTGGAACCAGTTATGGATGAGATAGTGGGTACTAGACAGATAGACACATTGTCAACATGCACATCAAGCGCAGTCACACCTGGATATCAACCAACAATTGGCGTGTGATGAAGTCGCGTGAAAGTGAGTAGCAGAAACAGCAGCTGATGAGCAAGTTGTAATATAGTCCATGGTTTTGCGAGAGGGCGTGATACTACCCGGTTGCCCAAGCCGAAGTAGGGAGTTGACTTAGGGGACTCCACCCCGAGCCTTTGGCTAAATAACCTACCCGCAAGGCAGCTGGGCGAATTTAGGGAATCGCGCCCATTGTGAGGCGTTGACTGAATGTTCAGTTCATGCGTCTTTGTTTGGTAGATTACCAAACAGGGGCCCAATACTCCCCATGAAGTCAGCACACCTGCTGGAATACAATGTCCCATCGAGGTGGAACATTGTCGCCGAACACTTTGCTGGAAGGGGGTACACCCGAACCACCCAGCTGGCACCACGAGGAGGTAGTTCGGCAAGCCAGCCGATCTGAGCGTGCTTTAGAGATGGAGACTGCTACCCTCTCTGGCAACACTCGCAGGCTTTTCCAACTCATTCGGTCCACTGGCCTCAGGAAGCCTGGTGTCAGTGAGGTCATTTGTGAGGTTGATGAGTCTCCGATCACCAACCAACAGAGGCGTATGGACCGTTGGGCCGAGCACTTTCACTCGCAGTTCACCTGGCCTCCACCATCCATCAGTACATGCAGTACACCTTGTTGTCCACCCTGGCTCGTCCCACTGAATCCACCTAGGGAAGCGGAAGTCTACCTCGAGATTCGACAGTTGAAGCGGTTCAAGGCTACTTGCTCAGACGGACTTCCTCCGAACTTGTTCAAGTACGGCGGTGTGGCGATCGTTAACCAGCTGACCGCGCTGTTCGCAAAAATTTGGCATGAAGAGAAAGTGCCTTCCTCTTGGGGCGAATCAGTTATTGTCCCGATTTTCAAGAAAGGCGCTCGCACTTCATGTGCAAATCATCACGGGATTAGTCTTATTTCGATTGCCTCTAAGCTATTGGCATCCATTCTGCTTCGCAGGCTATCCCCAGTAAGTGAATCATACTACCGTGATGAACAAGCTGGTTTCCGTCCTGGCCGCGGATGCGTGGATCAAATCTTCTTGCTTCGCCAGCTCCTCGAACATCGCCACATTTATCACAGGCCCACTATCATTGCATTTCTAGACATACGTGCCGCTTTTGACTCCGTTGATCGACCGGCTTTATGGCGTTGCTTACTAAAGAACGGGGTGCCAGAGAAATATACCGCCATCTTACGAGCACTTTACCTTCATACATCCGGCAGAGTGAGGGTCTATGGCAAGCTTTCCTCGCAATTCGCTGTCAATAGCGGTGTGCGACAGGGTTGCCCTATGTCCCCATTCCTCTTCAACTTCGCAATCGAAGACGTCCTGTCGAATGCTCTAGAAGGTTTCCAACATTTTGGCTTAGAGCTTCTACCGGGTGAGCGCGCGACCGACTTAGATTATGCTGATGATATCGCCTTACTTGGTGACGATCCTCAGAGTATGCAACTCATTCTGGATCGTTTGGCGGTTGAAGCATCTAACTATGGCATGAGCTTCGCCCCATCGAAGTGTAAAATACTGCTCAAGGATTGGCTTTCACCTGCTCCCGTACTCACTCTCGAAGGTGCACAACTTGAACAGGTAGATAGTTTCGTCTACCTTGGGAGCTGTGTTTCTGCTGACAGCACAATCAACAAAGAAGTTTCTCTTCGCATCGCTAAAGCTCGATCAGCATTTGTCAATCTGAGGCACTTGTGGCGTCGTCGCGACGTCTCATTCTCACTAAAGGGCCGCGTCTACAGCGCATCAGTTCGCTCAATATTGTTGTATGGGTGCGAGTCCTGTCCGACTTGCGCGGAAGACATGCGTCGTCTTTCTGCGTTCGATAACGGTTGCTTAAGGAGGATCGCTCGTGTTTGGTGGCAACATCGAGTAAATAGTAATGACGTTCGACGTCGCATCTTGGGGAATGCGGGTATTCCCTTCAACAAACTGATTTTGTTGCGCCAGTTGAAATGGCTCGGTCACGTCCTTCGCATGGCACCTGAGCGTCTACCGCGTCGCGCTCTATTCGCTCGTCACGGAGCTGGCTGGGAGCGACCGCGTGGTGGTCAGCCTTCCACTTGGCGGCAGCACATGAAATCGCTGACGTCGTGTCTAGCCGCTGTTGGATCCGTACGTCTTCCAGGATGGGGACCCAAAGATGAGGAGTGTCAATGGCTTAGCACTCTTGAGGATATGGCCCGCAACCGGAATCGATGGAAGAATTGTATACAGTATTGTGTTGATTCACATGATTAATACTACAAACATTAAAATGACAAAAACTAGCAAAAGCGGCGTGTGAAAAACGAACTAAAAATGTTTTGTTCTACTTTTTATCGAAATGTTCTATTCTTCCTGCGGCATATTAGTTGAAGTGTGTTGCTCACCTTCAACTAACATGCCACAATGATTATGACGCGTTGAACCTTGCTTATCTGTTGATCTACATGGTTTTATACTGGCTCTGTGTCTAGTAAATAGACTGTTGAGAATACATACATACATATACATACATCTGCTGAGTTCACTCTTCATTAAACTTGCATATGAGATAACTGTTATCAACATATCCGAAATGAATTCAAGATAGCATAAATAGGGATTAAAAATCCAAAGCAACCGATGCGAATACAAATAACGAAATTGACCACCTTTTCTCTAAGCCACGTGTGCTAGTAAATGGAAGCTTATTCAGATAGACATTCAAATGAGCTATCAAGGTAAGTATTAACAAAATATAGCAAATCGATCGCCTGAAATAAAGCGACTCAGATAAGAGACCATTGGGGATGATTAACTCCCGTTTCTTTGGTACTGTAAGAGACTATTGTACTATTCCTCCACAGGATAAGTAATGGTTTGTTACTTGAGTGCCGTAAGTTATTCGTGGTACTGCAACTAGTACATCTTGAGGCGAACTCCGGAAGTAGACTAATGCAGTGTATGGCAACGCGAAAACTGCGTGACAAAAATGTATGCTAATAGTCTTAATTACAGATATGTGGTAGGAATGTTGGATACAGTAGGAAACTTTAATCAAGTTTTCGTGCGATTCCATTGCGGTGTAGTCGCATGACACGGGATATTCCTGAGAGATTAGTTGTCACGGAAGACTGCCACTACACATACTGTACGAATGCCAGGAGCGTGTGTGTGGTGGCTTTTGGTCAAGTACAGGATGTAGTAGATAGAAATGTCCTGTAACCGTGTTCATGTGGGTCCATCTTCTATATCTAGTTGGTTTGTGCGAGCACTGCTGGTGCTCGATCCATCTGAGGCTTTCCGTCCTGTTCGTTGTTATGACATATCCCAGTCCGCAAAGTCGTTGTTGATATTGGTTACCGCATCTCCGCAGCCACATTAGTCGCTTCCGCTTCATTGGTGATTTTAACTTCCATCGAATACTTTAGCCTGTGGTTCGACTTCTCTCGGGGCATTGTGAAGTGGAATCAGAGTTTACTGAAGTGATATCTGGGACTGGAGCGGCGCAGTACATCTGACCTACATTCCTTACGCGGCACTCAAATCCAGCGAGCCTGGACCTCACGTTTACAATCTGCGAACAGCGTGTCCATGATGTTCTGGTCCTATAGTCTCATACAACAAGTGATCACTCGATGTTGGTAGCAAACTTTGCGCTTTTGCTGCTATAATCGCCTCCATCTGTAACGATCCTGCAACTACTGGAACATAGACTTCCATGGTCTTGCTCGAGTCTCTAGTCAATGTGGTTGGTTGTCGCCGCAAGATTCATCCCAAGGGGATTAATTCCAAGAGAATTTTTGCTTAAATGAATGGGTAGCTTAGGCCTGTAGGTGACGTAGAGTACCTCAGCGGACATCCTCTGACTTCGAGAACTGTGTGCGTACGCGTTAGCGACGCACTTTGCTTCTGTACTTACAATTGATCAGGCGTCTATACCAAACTCGATGCTTGCAACACCCACCGTACTGAAGCACTTGGACTGTGATGCGGAAGATGTTCACACTTTACTTCCCACTCTTAATGACACAAAGTCTACAGTTCCCTATGGCTTCCACCTGCTGGTTCTTAAGTCCTTGTCGAATATCGGTGATCCCAGTGAGGTGGACAATTACCAATCGATTTATCTGCCCATTGATTTTGTCAGAGTACTCACG